AAATCTTCATTGAGAGAGATTCGGCGGCGCCATAGAGACTTCTATCCCCAAAGCACCACTTGAAAGGAGACGTATGCTCCCATGATATCGGATGCCCTAACATCCAGACACACAAAAGGCAGCAACGAAAGCAATCAAGGGACCCAAGGCACATTAAAAGCCCGCCACCACCCCGAATTAAGCCCCAGGTCCCACGATCGCGGGAGACGAGAAGAACACAGTTGGCATCCGAATTCCCATCTTGAAATGAACAACGAACGTGAAATACGAGAAATGAAACAACCTCCTTCGACAGCAGTATTCTTTGATACCATGAGAACTATCGATCATCTCAAGACCTGCGCGAGGGGCCTGTAGCGAGGAACATCATTTTCCTATAGAAAAGGCCAGCGCCGATCACCACCCTGGTAAACGTAAGTAATCTTCAAGCAAGCACGAAATTCTCTGCAAGTATCTCAGGCTCCCGGCGATGAACCGTGCGACGGCGCTCCAAGCAGACATGCACGTGGCGTTGCAAGAGTATAGAAATACGCTCCTGCAACAGGCTCCGCGTTCGGCCTGGCGGCCGTCCGAGGGGTTCATCTGCAGCTTTGCACAACGAGTCCAGTATACGTCGTCCCTCTACATTCAACCCACCGGCATAGTCGAACACAATCGGTTCAAAACCTATCCCTTGCTCATGACAACGTTGCTGGATTTGTCGATTCGTTCGCTTCTGTTCAGCGTACCGTTCCGTGTTGGAGACGCTACCACCAGCAATAAACTGAGAAACTATCGCAAAGTCCAGTGCCACACGTGGGAGGAAGTTCCAAGCGGATTGTCTACACAGAGGGATCGGGATCGTGAGGATATCAGCTGGTCGAAGATCGGGCGTCGCTGGCAACAAGCCACTCGGTTCTAACTTCAACCCAATACCACCCCCTGAAAGACCTCGAAAAATCTCGTCTCGAACACAATTATGAAGTGGCGTTTTACCGATCATCGAACAAGCGATACAATGATGACCCCAACTATCCGAAACTTGGGGGCACATACCACATCCTTCATCTCCGTCAAATATTTGAAGACCAAGTCGCATAGATAAAGCATCAGAAAATGCAACATTGGTAAAACAAGTCCCAAACGTGAGATTCGGATCACTACACACCCACCCATCAGCCCAACTCTCGCCGTAAGATTTCATTCTCGTGAGATCCAACGAAGAGAGGGTGCCAAGAAATGTTCTGCGCGACGCCTCCACTCCTTGCGCAACCAGCTTCTGAAACTTCAGCCTCGTATCATCCCGCTGAAAAGCATCCTTCCAAGTGGGACACAGGGCTTCAAGGCGCTGTGTGGCAACCGCCCATCCCAAAATAGAATAGTTAGGATGAAGAGTGACCAACTGAGCACATAACTCCGACGTAAATCGAGAGGCCACAACGTACGCAATATCAGCCCGATGACAGTCGTGATCTCCTATGGGAAACGATTCTGGGGTCAATCCAAGGCCACCATGCTTCGGAAGATTTTATCTTTGAAATATTCATCGAATTAAATTAGAATTTCTTTGTAGACAAGATCATAATTTCTAGGGAAAAAGCAAAGGAGATTCATCTGAAAAACCCCTATTACTTCCCTTATTTGGAAGAGAATATATATCGACATTCCTTCAAGACTTCTGATGATCAGAAGATGCGATCCCCTTCCGGATCAAGACCTCCAACAATCTCAAAGACAAAAGGCTCACATCCCATTCCCTGTACCGGCACGACTACAAACAAGGCGTCACGACTATTCACTCAGCGCCAAATCCGAAGAGAAGGTGCGCGGCACGGGTGAAACAAACTCGAACATTGAAACTATAGGGGGGGTTGTGACTGTACAAGAGGCATGTAATCAGAGACTCGTGGCAAACCAGTGAACTACTTTGTAATTACTTTGTAAGCCCGTAGGCTGATTTGGGCGCAATTGTCCAATCTTCTGTGCGGCGATGTTCAACCTAGCATGTGTTTTGGTGATTGTTTGGCTGTTTGGTTAATCATGTCTATTTAGAATGGGGCTTTTTGACGGTTCTTTGCAGTATTTTGTAGGAGGGTTTGATCGAGATCTGACGGTATGTTTGCTGGTGGCTTTCCGCATGCTCTCAGGGAATCTTTCGTTGTTTTTCGACTACAAGCAACTCATTGTATGGTGGCCCGCCTTGTAACATAAGAGTGCTCGGTGGGGAAGAAGTGGCACGGGCACCCTTGCATCGCATCAGCTTAAGCGGAGTCTAGTCGGAATTACGGTGGCACCACAGAGCTTCGTTCTTCGAAGCCGGTGTCGGCAGCTGGATGCAAGAGTCGCTGTGCAAATCGCCCAAACTCAGCTTCGCGAGTGTCTCGTATTGAGATCCACCCTCCATCGCGCAAACGCCCTCGGACGAGATCCTGCTTGCTCTGGACTTCGATAATGTCAACCTCGGTGCCGGCTGCCAATTCCTGCGGTTCCTGCACACTCTCTTGCACCACTTCAGGGTCAGCGCCTTCTGTCACCTTCACTTCGCGCAAGATCTCGTACCTTCCAAGGACAGCCTCGACTTCGTGCCAGCCACCAGCCGGATGCCAGAAATCACCGACCAAGAGCGCGACCTCCGCAAAAAAACCACAAGCTAGCACCAGGAACTGGCGCAGCAGCTGCTGGTTCTGAGTGATGCTGTCCCACAGCCTCTCTCCCTTTACAAGAGTGTTTAAACCTTCCGGAAACTGAAGCATGTGATATTGTTCACGATCCGGATCGAGCGATCCCCACGTGACGGCTTTGCCACGCCCAACATTAAGGCCGAAATCGGCCCAAAGCAGGACCCAGAAACTGAGAAGCGCCACGTGCCTCGAGAATCGGGCGATGTTTGCTCCATCCTGATCTAGCCACCAGTCCAGTCGGCTCCGCAGACAACTGAAGGGGTATCCGGCAATGAAGAGATCGCGGGCATCCCGGAGCCCCACCAGCGAAGCCCACCAGGCCTGCTGCCAGGCCCACATAAACGTGTCCAGCTTCTTCAGCCCGAGGGCCTTTCCCAAACATCCCAGTGGCAGAACAGCAAACACACAGGCCAAGAAAGTTCCTGCGAAGCCTGGGGAAGTAAGGACAAAAGCCCAGCAGGGTGAAATGGCCAGGAAGCCAACCGGCCTGCGTAGAACGGCCCAGCTGTTCACCTTCTTCTCCTCCTGCACAACCTCGTAATAGTTGTCGAACTTGCAAGGCTGGGGTTTAGCAAGTAACTCCCCGGCTTTCGCTGCTGTGGGAAGGCTCAAGGCCAGGGCAAGTAAAATACCAAAAGCGAGGTTCCCCGCCGTCAGGTAGGACATTTCGGGTGTGCGCACCAGTGCCCACATGGATACTATAATGGACATCGTGCCCTCGTAGGTGCCTTCTCTGCGCTGGTGCACATAAATCTCGCGTGTGGCAAAGCCACGTTCTAAGGACCTTGCCAGCTCTGCGGTGTTCTGCGCCTGAAGAAGATCCCCGGCATTTGGGGCAAACACTGCGAAGGCCAACAAGCCAGCATAGAAGGGCTTTGCAGCAAAGAGGAGGGAGCAGATTGAGTTCAGGTCTTGCGCGGGCTCGATGGCAGCTGACGCCGATGCAACCTTCAAGCGAAGCCGTTCGGCATCCAAATCATTCAAGCTGTATCGCTTGCAGAGCTTTTCCATGAAGCCGCCCGGGTGAGAGAAGCGCCCGTCCTCTCTGAATTTCTCAAGACTTGGAGACCCCACCGGCGCTTCACCTTCAGACAGAACGAACTTGCAGCGAGCGTCGGCAGACTCAGCCGCTGGAGTTGCAGAGGCATCCCCATCATCACCGATGTGTGCGTAAACGGAGCCAGGCCGAGCCCAAAAGCCCACGAAGCTCCCTAGGCTCCGCAAGCCGTAGAGCACTCCGGCAAGCGGAGGAAGTGCAATCTTGAGCCAGCGCGGTAGACCAGCTGCACAGAAGTTCCTCCAAGTCATGACTTTGATACATGCCGGCAAGCCCATCATCCCAGAAACGCCCACAGGCGCATAGTTGAAGACGGCCCGGCACCACTTGTAACATGCTACCCCTGTTGTTGCATTGATCAGGTCAGTCACACCGATAATGTCGCACTCTTGGCACGAGCTTTTCACATGGCGCACCGGATGGCCCATGATGGCTGCCATCGGGTCTCGGGCGAAAGGTAATGCAAAAGCCAGCGCCAGGGCAAAAAGCGCAAGGCTTGCAATCGCAGCAAAGCATGCATCCCTTCCCTTGATTTCCTCGCTGGAAAGGGAGCAGAGGCCGAAGAAAATTGGGAAGGGCAGCAAACTCCAGAAGGCTTCCTGGGCTAAGGCTGCCCAGCTTGCAATACCTTCCACTGTATTGAGGTCAGCCTCCTGGGGGTCCGGTGCAGTAAACCAAATCGCCGCGGCTGCCACAGCGCCAGCCAAGAAAAGCTTTAGGGCCGCCAACAACGAAGAATATAGAGCCATTGGGAGGGGGCTGCAGCGGCTGCTGCTACTACGTGCGAGAATGCAGGCCACAAGTAGAAGACACAGGCTGAAGATGCAGCAAAGCGAAGCTGGCAGCAAAACCAAGGACCGCTTGGCTTCGAAAGCTTCCATGGCCAAGGACCGGTCAAGGAGCTGGGAGCATCTCAATCTGTAACATATCTTGAACCTTGCCTTGCAACGGTGTTCGCCGAGGCCCAAACTAGCGTAGCCCCGCCCAGTTTGAGGGATGGCAATCGCCCCTACCCTGCCTCCTCCCCATACGCCAACACTTTGTTTTCATCGTTCTTATCCAACGATACCTGTTAACCTTGCTGCAAACACCAACGAAACGGCGTTCCACCAACGATACCTGTTAACCTTGCTGCGAACACCAACGAAACGGCGTTCTACCTGTCGCATTTCTCACACATTTCAAAACACATACCAGTCGACCCCGCATCATTTGCCACACCTGAAGCGGATCCATTCTTTCCACAGCGGTCCTATCTTTCAAATTCTGTGCACCGTTTGCATAGCTTCGGCTCAGCGAGCTCAAGGAATTTCGAAGATTGCTCTTGGCCTAGCAAGGCGTAGCCTCAGTCCAACGTCCAACCTCAAGAATCGGCTAGCGCAGCCTGGCGAGCAGTCTGCAAACTCGAACTATCACAGAATATTACAGACTACTGCTGGCCCAAAGGGCCTGAGTTTCGACATGCGCCGCCAATGATGTAGAGTGAATAGCCTTGCAGTGAACAAATTTGCGCAAGCTGGGGGTATGCAACGAGCTCCCGGGAGTCCGAGGTCGATTGAAGCTGAAAGCTGCTCCCACCGCTTGGGCAGACTTTCCAGGCAGGGAGCGGTGGGCCTTCTGCAATGTTGACAAACATGATGACAAGCGGCTATGGGCGGCAAGAAGAAGACCAAGACAAATAGCAAGAACGACAAGAATAGTATGCATGATGCGAAGACGAACAATAAGGAGACCAGCAGCAGCAGCAGCAGCAGCAGCAGCAGCAGCAGCAGCAGCAGCAGCAGCAGCAGCAGCCGCCGCAGCCGCAGCCGCGGGGGCGGCGGCAGCGGCAGCGGCGCGGCAACGGCAATAACAGCTGCGCCTAGACCACTGCTAACAAAGAAGACAGTAACGCAACTGAAAAGTCATCAGAGCCATAACAGCAAAAGCTAAGATGACAGCCATGAGAATTGAGAAAGCATGTGGGATCGAGCTAAGCTACGTCACAAAGCAGAATTTACAGTTTGTTAGATGCCAAGCAAGATCTTCCAAAATCCAAAATGCCTCAAGGCAGCCCTTGGACCCAGGAGCTCATTGGGAGGCACCGGTCGCCCTTTTCCCAGACTCGGGCACAAGCGGTGGCCCTCGCTAAAAGCGAAGTCCGGGTTTCAGTTTTGAAAACCGGAGGTCTTTTGACCCGATGGCTCAGCAATGCTGAGGACACTTCAACGTTGAGTCAGGCTACTCTTTCGGCCTGCAGCTCAGTGCGACCTGCAGCGCAGTGCGGACATGGCCTCATCTCGGCACAAGCTGCTTCCCTGCAAACCGGGGTAGGGCATAGGCGGCTGGACGAAGACATCCCCATGCCTCGTATACCACTCCTCGGATGTCTCCTGCAGGCAGCGATGACTCCCAAAAGCTCAAAATCGTGAAGGAAGATATTCATGTTCTGTTCCGAGTCTGGGGCTTGTCTGGGATATTTCGCCAAGCCGCTAAGCCTCTCGGCTACTTGCGAGAGCTGCCGTCAGCTAAACGAGTGCTGGGTCTTAGTTTTAACCACTTCTGCTAGTTCCTAGATGTAGACCAGACCCTGCGGTTGATGAAAGAGATTCTGGGGATCTGTGCAGGCCAAATCTTCCCTTGCCCGGAACTGGACGCAGTCCTTCATCATTTCACAGAAAACATCCTCCTGCCGCGTACAGCAGCTGGACAGGGTTCTTAAGGCGTTTTGAAAGCAGCGAAGTTCTTCGCGCATCTCCTGCTGCTCTGCAAGCGAGAATGCCTCCCACTGAGTTTGGAATTTTTTCGTGGCTGCAGTGTAGATCTCTTCCTCCTGCCCCTTGATGCAGTTGCTGACGAATCGCTCTCCCCACGGCGTGCGGCTGCCCGATTTAAGGTATGCAGCAATGTCGTCAAGCAGCTGCTGCTCCTCCGGGCGTCGATTGTGCATGTGGTTCACGTGAGTACTCAGGTAGAGGACATCAGCAAGGCTCCAACCCAAGCGTCGACGCAACATCAAAAGCGACCGGTCATAGTGCTCTTGAAGCATGACGTAGTCAAGCTTGTGAAATTGACTTAGCGGCAACTGCTCTGTCATCGGCTGCCCGGCCATCGGTCCGCAGCACTTGTCCAGTGCTTCTGGGTTGGCCTTTCCGCACCATGCAGTGGGCGCCTGGTTGTTCAGCAGCTGTCGGTACCCTGCGGAAGTGTTGTCAATGCTCACCTGCTTCGGGAAGGTCAAGAAGTGCTTCATGCTGGACATCACGCGATCCAAGGGGTTGCGGAAAAATGCAATCTTCACGTTCCCAGGCACAAGGAGGTCCAATGCATCATCCATGACTGCATGAATTGGCCAAATGTTGATGGAGCCAGGGTGCTCACTCGCCATCCTGCTGAGGACATCTGGGCCGACCGTGGAATGGTACAACTCATGAGACGGGTAATACTTCCCTGGTGCTGCAGACGTTAGATTGTGATTGTCCGCATAGTGGAAGAGGATCGTTGCCAACGTGCCGGAGCCAACAGAGTGCAGCTTCATGAACACAACCCGCGTCACAGGCGTCACAGGCCGGTCACGACCCACAGAACCAGAAGCGAGAGTCGGTTCGGAAACGTCCACTTCCACCGGGAGGGGAAGGTTTGCCAGCTTGTACGACCAGGCCTTGGAAAATGCAAAAAGCAAATCAAAACATGCCACAAGACACCCAATAGGGGGCCTCGCGGGCTTGGAGTTGTTGTTGGGATTACTTAGCTTGTGGCGGGGGGGTTTAATGGTTTCCGATGGCTCTATATCTTTACGGCACAAACGGCACATCTTAAAGGGCGTATGAGGTTTCTAGGGCTTGGGGAATGTCAAGCTCAGCATTTGTCTTGTTGGCATTGAGCAACGCTGTGCAGCATGGCAAAATGCCATGCCATTTGTAACATGCAGCGCGCCAGCATGGCGGCTCACCAGCTAGGAGCCTGCTTCATTGAAGTATCTTGAGCAATACTGGGGGCCGAACGGAGTCTGACTTGTTTCTTCTAGCATCGGACCCTACATTGTCAGCACTCGCGACCCTGTGTGGAAGCCCCACTCGCAGCTCCATGAACCTTTGCATGCTCCTGGGGTGCAATACATTTCAAGTCCTTCCTGTGGAGTTTCGTGAGCCTCCTCTGGACTCCCATGAGCCTCCTAGGGATTGCCCTCTGGACTTCCCCCTCCCTGGGCTCTAGGCCAAGGAGGGGTGTTACAACTATGAAAGCTAACGCATCTACTAAACCCAGATGAAAGAGCTAAACGAAAATATTCGCGCAAACTGCCGGATTGGGCTTGTAAATCAGGGGGAGAAAGAGAAAGAGAGAGAGAGGGAGAGACCGAGAGAAAAAGCAAAAAACAAGGAGAGCAAGGGAGGCCAACAGAATAACAACATACTTACGAGGGGAAAGGGAGGAAGCCTGGGAGAGAGATGGAGCGAGAGAGAGAGGGAGATAACAAGATGGAGAGATAGACAAGTAAAGAAGACAAGAGAGAAAGAGGAAATATGAAAAGGAAACCGGTCTTGCTTGGGGCACTTTGGTAGGCAAACAGACTTACGATTGCTCCTGGGAACGCAGGAGCTACATCTCATGGAAAGGTCTGGTAATTCAGCCTTGGAATATGTAAGCACAAGAAGTTCATCCTTTTGAACCCACGCTATGCCGACATCAAGAAGTGCCGCATTGCTTTTGACACCTGCCCCAGGCCGTGGCACAAAATTCAATCGGTCTCCTGCTCAATGCAGGCGCACAGATACTGCCCGCACAAGCAAGGAAACGGATCCTGTACAACCATTACCGCCCTCCAGAAGAGGCATCAGCAACATCCCATTCACGTGATCTGAGAGATCTAGATGCTATTGTGCATATTTGATGCCTCTTCGTTCAGAGAGCCCTCGAAGTCTGACGCACAGATACAGCCAGAAACTCGAGTTGGCAACCGATGTCTACGAAGCATGCTGTACATAAATACATACATCTGATGCTGATGCTGTTAAGAAACAGGGATGGAAAGGTTTGCCTCCTGCTGGGCGGATCTATCTAAATCGCCTTCTCCACGCAGTTCCAGAACGTGGTGAGGTGCCGTACGTGACGTAGTCGGACTGAGCACTGACCTCAATTCAAACGATCTCCAGTTTCAGGTCTGGCGCATGCCATGTCAAGCGCCTACAGTGCTACAGCAAGCCAAGTCTGCGTGGAAGGCAAATGGCTGAGGCGAACCTTGGAGGACGTTGGGGTTGGGAGATCCCACTCAACTTTCCACTGGCTGCAGTCAGGGCTTTTTAGTGCATGAAGTCCCACGTCCCATGTCCAGATCTAGGGTCCTGATCATGAGAATGGTGCAGGCATGCCCAGTCTCTGAGGCTCAGCTTGGGGGAGTGTCTTCTTTAAAAGCTTTACCGACCACGGCGCACAGAAACAGATGAAGCCTCGGCGGGGTTCATTCGGTGCCTGCTGCGCGCTCCTGGGATCCTCCGAGATGGATCTGACCATTGGGTGTTGCACCATCATCGCCCCACCCAAGCCCTATAAGCAGACCCAGAGAAGCAACACTGCAGAAGTCTGCCTGAAGAGAGGAATACTTTGCGCCCGGAATTACCCCCAAGACGGCACCCGAAACACTTTTCGGTTCAGCGCAGGTCTTTGGCTTTCATGCACTTCACCACGGCGTGTGCGCGGAAGAAGTGGAGACTCAAAGCCTGAAGCGTTGGAAACCCTTGGAGAGCATCGGTCGGCTTTTGGTGAGCTAGGGCTTCTAGGGCTCTCGGATATGGGGGCCAAGCAGACTGTCAGCTGCTCTAGATTTGCTCTGAGATATCAGCCAAACCGGGGTGACTGGCAGGGCGACTGGCAGGGCTTGCTGCGTTCAGTACGTTGAACATGCTGCTAGTGACTGCAGCGCTAGCTGTCAAGGGAGCAACGTCTCAGGAATCGAAGCATTTTGACCGTAGGACTTTTTGTTAGGTCGTGTCACGATTGGGTTTCTGCCTACAAACGCGGCATATCGATGGCAAAGATAGCTCTTTCTGGTGGTTCAGGTTGTGATGTCACTTTGAACTGTGCCAGCTGCCCATCTCAAACTTTGTATGCTTCAGCCCAATTGCTGTCAACACGTGTAGGGTTCAGAGCGTATCGCCTGATGGATCTGACGAACGGACAGCTGCCGAACACGAGGACCATCCATAGGCAAACAAAGAAGCACCCACGCCCTACACCGGAGTGCTCTTAACACAAACGGTGCCAGTTGTTGATGTGTTGGTCTGACGGTCTTCTCTCCATTCTGCACGTCGTCTTCAAAGCCCTCAGTGCCCATTTCCTCATCCCCCGCAGCACTCGTTTAAGGGAATCACACTACGCCAGCCGAAGCGCGAAAATCTCAAGTGAAGCTGGCGACACATCCCAATAGCCCCATAGCCAACTCAGAGAGAGTATGGGTCAAGATCTCACAGGTGTAGGGCTGAGGGCTCCAGAGGTCTAGGTCTTGGACCTTGAGGATGACAGTTTTGAGGGTTTAGGGTTTAGGGTTTAGGGTTTAGGGCCGGAAAACAAGAGAAAGCTACTGGGGTACGGGCCCACTGCAGCGGCGTCGCGTCATCTGAGGGCCACGTCGGTTTCAATTCAGGAGGGTTTGGGCCCCGAAGCCGACTAAAAAGCCTCATTCCAGGACTCTGAAACCTGGGTCTCTGGGGGCCGAAAGACTTTGTTGAGCTCCTTTGACGCCACCAACCAACCCAAACCCCGAACCCCCCATTTTAAGAAACATCCTTTGCTTGCATTGGGGTTATGGGGCATGGAAGTAGGGTTGGTAGGGCCTGCGGTTTTGGGGCTTATGGTTTTGGGGGCGATCGCTGAGGGGAAAAATCAATGGCCCCACCTCCTTGCAGATGCTCCGACCACGCTTGCAGCCATGCCTGGCGCGGCACAAGAAGCCCACGTGATGCTGCTGTTCTGATGCTAGGAATCCTGCTGCACCCAGGAGCACAAACCCTAAACCCCAAACCCTCATCCTTAACGCAAACAGACACCAACCAAAAGCCTAAAGCCGAAAGGAAACCCCTGAACCCCATGAACGCCAAACTAAGCTAAGCGCTCAACCCGAATCCTGAACACCAAGCCACCATACTACCCCAGACGAGTAAGCCCCTTCAAGCCCGACCTCTAACCTTAAACGGCGGCTTTGAAATAAATCGCTACTATTATCAGATTCAGAGAAAACCCTTTTATTTCATGCTTCCATGGGTATTGATCCACTTCGTAAACTTAAAGTCATCATCTCTCTTGTCAAATACACCTTCTGGTGTTGAAATTGCATAAGCACTGTGTCCAACAGCATCTAAAGGCTTCCTAATTCTTTGCATACCACCTTTCCATCTGAACACTGCCTTTTTCAAACATTAACAACTTCCAACAACCATTTTAATCGAAATATATATATATATACATATATACATACATGTATAGATTTAAAAAAACACTTTCCTGTGGAGGGTTCATCCTAAAGCTAAGCGAAGCCCAAAACCCGAAGCCCTAGAGGCCGAAAGCCCTGAACCCGAACCCAAACGCGAAAGCCCCGACCTGGGCCTTGCACGCTTTAAACTCTCCAACAACCCGTCAGACTGCACAAACTTCTGCCAACCCCCGAAAAATTTCACCCCAACCCTGCAACCCCAAAACGCAAAAGCCCACGGCCCCCAAACTCTACACTCTGCTGCCAAACCACAAGACCCTAAGCGAGTGCTAATCTCTCTGAGCCCGTAAACCCTCAACCCAGAGACACTTCCACCTATCCTTGATTCAGACGCCCCAAACCCTAGAGGCCACAAAGTGCTAAATCCTACAGCCCTTGCACCATTTGGCCTTCAACCTGGCGGTCGTCCCGGTAGGCCCGAAGCGGCGGGCGAAGGGCGCGGACGCGAAGCGAAGTGCCTGGGCAGAAGTTGCGCATTTCTTTTAAGGGCATTTTAAGTGTTGAATATTGTTCGGGGCATTTAGGGTTTTCGGGTTGTTTAGGGGCTTTCAGGGTTTTGAGGAGTGGCGGTAGGTAGGGTGCTGGGTTTTGAGTACATTCTGCAATGTTTCTGAGGCTGCAGGCCGAAACCACTGGCAGAGGCGGTATTTCTGCAATGTTCAGTCTGAGAGTTGGCAATCTGGACATATTTGGAAGTACTTAGGTCGTGAGAACTGGCAGCGAAGCCTTTGCTAGCGCGTCAATGACTGTCCCTCACTGCAACTTCGTAGTGTATACGATTCGCACCGCATACTACTGGTAGATACGCAGATCGTCGGACTCAGAACGGTTGGACATCATTAGATGTCAGGCAAGCAAGAGATCGCATGTTCTGTGGTTCGGAGGATGTGACGGATGGAACATGGGAATCTGTTTACACCCTCCCTTCGCTCGAACCCTGTAGGGTGAGCTCAAGACTAGCCCGGTAGGCGGCCGAGGTGAAGGGGAGGGCAGAGGAACATTGAGTGGGCGCTCCCATCCACGCAAAGGCCGGACATGTCCTTTTCTAGATGTCACATCGCCATTCCTGCCAATGCTGCCTATGTGGCTCCGGGAGCCAAAGGCGGATAAAACCTCATTGGGCTTTTCGGGCGCTCCTGCCTCTGAGACAGAAGGAGGTCCCAGACCCTCCATCGTAGGTGAAGTGAACAGACCCCGCCCTAGGAAGCCTGTACAGCAGCACGGCACCTTCGCAGGATGTTAAAAACTAGCTGCCACAGGCCTGTACACGGTCATGCTCAGCAGTTGGCAAGAAGCCCACTCTCAACTCACTAAACAGATGTTCGTAGAGTTTGGGAGTTGCTCCTGTGCACCCCGCATGCCCCTGTCACTGAAGTAGAGGCCTATACAAAGCCTAGTCTCAGGCGCAGCCTATACGGAAGAAACGGCCCGCTCATGGGGTCTCTGCCCCATGCGGGGGGGGGGAAACAGGCTTCATGGCAACGCACAGGTGCTGCAAGGGAAAGGCTTGAGATTGACGCTGTTGTCACAGGGTCTCTGTGGGCGCTTGACGTTGGGCCACGGCGCACGCTCCGGAATCTAATGAGCCTCCTTCTTCTGCTTCTTGCGCAGCTTGGCCAGCTTGCGATTCTCAAACCTCCTCTTCTGCAGCTCTCCATCTGCACAGAGATGACAGTGGAGGCAGTCTGCACCCCTGGTGCAACCGCCCGGTCGCCAGTACCAAGCACAAGGTCGACAAAGCTTCGCCTCGTGCAGATGGGACCCGGCCGACTCGGAAGGTTGCTGGACACTTCCCGTGGTGGTGCTTGAGCCTGAGCCACTGATGGCGGACTGTGGTGAATGAGGTGTGGTCGGGACTGGGCCCGTCCACTTGGCAACATCGTGCGCACCATCCTCCAGCATCCATGAGCTTCCTCCGTGGGTGGAGTCGATGAAGGATGTCAGGAGGCTTCTGTCACTGCCGCCGCGCGTGGATGCCAATTGCCAGGCTGTACAAGACCCCCGCATGGATGCTGCGCCTGGAGAGGCCAAGTCGGATTCTGTACCTGGGTCAAGGGCGTCAAATAAGCAAACTAGAAACCTTGTTTCCCACAAGTCAAGCGAGAAGCTCTCGTTCAAACAGCGGACATAGCGAATATACGAACACCATAATAAGACCTAGATGCACTCGATGCTGTGCTGACGCACAGACATCAGGAAAAGCTTCGGGACTTTGTTGGTGAGCTCATCTGGCTCTTCCTGAAGGTGCTCGCTCGTGCTCGACCATGTGCTCGGCAACAATGGCAGGCTAGAGGAGCGTGTCAACGTCTCGGCCTTGCTGGGGACGTATTCCAGAAAGGTCTTCTTCTCCACAAGGCTGAACAGCATCACCTCCTCTGTCCTTGCGCGGTTCAGTTTTCAGGGTTTTTTCGGGGTTTGGGTTTGCACGGGGTTTAGGGTTAGGACGGTTAGGGGTTATTCGGATCCGAGGGACAAGGGAAGTCTTAGGACCTGCTTTTTGCCATGGACTTCAAACATCTTCAAACGCGGGACTTGAAGTACTCCTGCTATCTAACGATGGCATAAGTTGGGCCCCATGCCTCATATGATTTCAGTCTCACACGGTTCTTGAGAAAGGCCGAGGATCTGCATGGCTGCCATCCGTCCAACGTGAAGGGGCCTAGTAGGGCGAGTTCCGAGCAGCTACCGCTCTTGCTTCCCGATCGGCTGCGGCGAGCCAATTGGGATTGAGGGTTCTAGGCGGTTCAAGGCCTGCGGACCCATGTGGACATGGCGTGGATGCCATGCGAGCGAGACGTCGTTCGAGACCCGGATGTGAGGGTGTGGGAACATGTTTATACTCTCCCCTGCTGAAGCTCCACAACAACTCATTCAGAAGTGGCGCGCTGAGCAGTGGACGACCCTGAGACCAGCCAAGATGAGGTGGGACCGAATGAGTTTTTCTCCATCCTTGCCTATGTGGCTCCGTGAGCCAAAGGCGGTAAACCTCATTGCAATGGCCCCATTGGGCTTTCGGGCGCTCCCGCCTTTTTGAGGCAGAAGGGGGTCCCAGACCCTCCATCGTAGGTGAAGTGGTCAGACCCGAGGACGCCTGTACAGCAGCAAGGCACCTTTGTAGGATTTAAAAACTAGCTGCGGCAGGCCTGTACACGGTCATGCTCAGCAGTTGGCAAGAAGCCCACTCTCAACTCACTAAACAGATGTTCGTAGAGTTTGGGAGTTGCTCCTGTGCACCCCGCATGCCCCTGTCACTGAAGTAGAGGCCTATACAATGCCTAGTCTCAGGCGCAGCATATACGGATGCTATACGGATGAAACGGCCCGCTCATGGGGTCTCTGCCCCATGCGGGGGGGGGGGGGGAACAGGCTTCATGGCAACGCACAGGTGCTGCAAGGGAAAGGCTTGAGATTGAAGCTTCACAGCTTTGGGGATTGTCACAGGGTCTCTGTGGGCGCTTGACGTTGGGCCACGGCGCACGCTCCGGAATCTAATGAGCCTCCTTCTTCTGCTTCTTGCGCAGCTTGGCCAGCTTGCGATTCTCAAACCTCCTCTTCTGCACTCCATCTGCACAGAGATGACAGTGGAGGCAGTCTGCACCCCTGGTGCAACCGCCCGGTCGCCAGTACCAAGCACAAGGTCGACAAAGCTTCGCCTCGTGCAGATGGGACCCGGCCGACTCGGAAGGTTGCTGGACACTTCCCGTGGTGGTGCTTGAGCCTGAGCCACTGATGGCGGACTGTGGTGAATGAGGTGTGGTCGGGACTGGGCCCGTCCACTTGGCAACATCGTGCGCACCATCCTCCAGCATCCATGAGCTTCCTCCGTGGGTGGAGTCGATGAAGGATGTCAGGAGGCTTCTGTCACTGCCGCCGCGCGTGGATGCCAATTGCCAGGCTGTACAAGACCCCCGCATGGATGCTGCGCCTGGAGAGGCCAAGTCGGATTCTGTACCTGGGTCAAGGGCGTCAAATAAGCAAACTAGAAACCTTGTTTCCCACAAGTCAAGCGAGAAGCTCTCGTTCAAACAGCGGACATAGCGAATATACGAACACCATAATAAGACCTAGATGCACTCGATGCTGTGCTGACGCACAGACATCAGGAAAAGCTTCGGGACTTTGTTGGTGAGCTCATCTGGCTCTTCCTGAAGGTGCTCGCTCGTGCTCGACCATGTGCTCGGCAACAATGGCAGGCTAGAGGAGCGTGTCAACGTCTCGGCCTTGCTGGGGACGTATTCCAGAAAGGTCTTCTTCTCCACAAGGCTGAACAGCATCACCTCCTCTGTCCTTGCGCGGTTCAGTTTTCAGGGTTTTTTCGGGGTTTGGGTTTGCACGGGGTTTAGGGTTAGGACGGTTAGGGGTTATTCGGATCCGAGGGACAAGGGAAGTCTTAGGACCTGCTTTTTGCCATGGACTTCAAACATCTTCAAACGCGGGACTTGAAGTACTCCTGCTATCTAACGATGGCATAAGTTGGGCCCCATGCCTCATATGATTTCAGTCTCACACGGTTCTTGAGAAAGGCCGAGGATCTGCATGGCTGCCATCCGTCCAACGTGAAGGGGCCTAGTAGGGCGAGTTCCGAGCAGCTACCGCTCTTGCTTCCCGATCGGCTGCGGCGAGCCAATTGGGATTGAGGGTTCTAGGCGGTTCAAGGCCTGCGGACCCATGTGGACATGGCGTGGATGCCATGCGAGCGAGACGTCGTTCGAGACCCGGATGTGAGGGTGTGGGAACATGTTTATACTCTCCCCTGCTGAAGCTCCACAACAACTCATTCAGAAGTGGCGCGCTGAGCAGTGGACGACCCTGAGACCAGCCAAGATGAGGTGGGACCGAATGAGTTTTTCTCCATCCTTGCCTATGTGGCTCCGTGAGCCAAAGGCGGTAAACCTCATTGCAATGGCCCCATTGGGCTTTCGGGCGCTCCCGCCTTTTTGAGGCAGAAGGGGGTCCCAGACCCTCCATCGTAGGTGAAGTGGTCAGACCCGAGGACGCCTGTACAGCAGCAAGGCACCTTTGTAGGATTTAAAAACTAGCTGCGGCAGGCCTGTACACGGTCATGCTCAGCAGTTGGCAAGAAGCCCACTCTCAACTCACTAAACAGATGTTCGTAGAGTTTGGGAGTTGCTCCTGTGCACCCCGCATGCCCCTGTCACTGAAGTAGAGGCCTATACAATGCCTAGTCTCAGGCGCAGCATATACGGATGCTATACGGATGAAACGGCCCGCTCATGGGGTCTCTGCCCCATGCGGGGGGGGGGGGGAACAGGCTTCATGGCAACGCACAGGTGCTGCAAGGGAAAGGCTTGAGATTGAAGCTTCACAGCTTTGGGGATTGTCACAGGGTCTCTGTGGGCGCTTGACGTTGGGCCACGGCGCACGCTCCGGAATCTAATGAGCCTCCTTCTTCTGCTTCTTGCGCAGCTTGGCCAGCTTGCGATTCTCAAACCTCCTCTTCTGCAGCTCTCCATCTGCACAGAGATGACAGTGGAGGCAGTCTGCACCCCTGGTGCAACCGCCCGGTCGCCAGTACCAAGCACAAGGTCGACAAAGCTTCGCCTCGTGCAGATGGGACCCGGCCGACTCGGAAGGTTGCTGGACACTTCCCGTGGTGGTGCTTGAGCCTGAGCCACTGATGGCGGACTGTGGTGAATGAGGTGTGGTCGGGACTGGGCCCGTCCACTTGGCAACATCGTGCGCACCATCCTCCAGCATCCATGAGCTTCCTCCGTGGGTGGAGTCGATGAAGGATGTCAGGAGGCTTCTGTCACTGCCGCCGCGCGTGGATGCCAATTGCCAGGCTGTACAAGACCCCCGCATGGATGCTGCGCCTGGAGAGGCCAAGTCGGATTCTGTACCTGGGTCAAGGGCGTCAAATAAGCAAACTAGAAACCTTGTTTCCCACAAGTCAAGCGAGAAGCTCTCGAACAGCGGACATAGCGAATATACGAACACCATAATAAGACCTAGATGCACTCGATGCTGTGCTGACGCACAGACATCAGGAAAAGCTTCGGGACTTTGTTGGTGAGCTCATCTGGCTCTTCCTGAAGGTGCTCGCTCGTGCTCGACCATGTGCTCGGCAACAATGGCAGGCTAGAGGAGCGTGTCAACGTCTCGGCCTTGCTGGGGACGTATTCCAGAAAGGTCTTCTTCTCCACAAGGCTGAACAGCATCACCTCCTCTGTCCTTGCGCGGTTCAGTTTTCAGGGTTTTTTCGGGGCTTGGGTTTGCACGGGGTTTAGGGTTAGGACGGTTAGGGGTTATTCGGATCCGAGGGACAAGGGAAGTCTTAGGACCTGCTTTTTGCCATGGACTTCAAACATCTTCAAACGCGGGACTTGAAGTACTCCTGCTATCTAACGATGGCATAAGTTGGGCCCCATGCCTCATATGATTTCAGTCTCACACGGTTCTTGAGAAAGGCCGAGGATCTGCATGGCTGCCATCCGTCCAACGTGAAGGGGCCTAGTAGGGCGAGTTCCGAGCAGCTACCGCTCTTGCTTCCCGATCGGCTGCGGCGAGCCAATTGGGATTGAGGGTTCTAGATCGGTTCAAGGCCTGCGGACCCATGTGGACATGGCGTGGATGCCATGCGAGCGAGACGTCGTTCGAGACCCGGATGTGAGGGTGTGGGAACATGTTTATACTCTCCCCTGCTGAAGCTCCACAACAACTCATTCAGAAGTGGCGCGCTGAGCAGTGGACGACCCTGAGACCAGCCAAGATGAGGTGGGACCGAATGAGTTTTTCTCCATCCTTGCCTATGTGGCTCCGTGAGCCAAAGGCGGTAAACCTCATTGCAATGGCCCCATTGGGCTTTCGGGCGCTCCCGCCTTTTTGAGGCAGAAGGGGGTCCCAGACCCTCCATCGTAGGTGAAGTGGTCAGACCCGAGGAAGCCTGTACAGCAGCAAGGCACCTTTGTAGGATTTAAAAACTAGCTGCGGCAGGCCTGTACACGGTCATGCTCAGCAGTTGGCAAGAAGCCCACTCTCAACTCACTAAACAGATGTTCGTAGAGTTTGGGAGTTGCTCCTGTGCACCCCGCATGCCCCTGTCACTGAAGTAGAGGCCTATACAATGCCTAGTCTCAGGCGCAGCATATACGGATGCTATACGGATGAAACGGCCCGCTCCGGAATCTAATGAGCCTCCTTCTTCTGCTTCTTGCGCAGCTTGGCCAGCTTGCGATTCTCAAACCTCCTCTTCTGCAGCTCTCCATCTGCACAGAGATGACAGTGGAGGCAGTCTGCACCCCTGGTGCAACCGCCCGGTCGCCAGTACCAAGCACAAGGTCGACAAAGCTTCGCCTCGTGCAGATGGGACCCGGCCGACTCGGAAGGTTGCTGGACACTTCCCGTGGTGGTGCTTGAGCCTGAGCCACTGATGGCGGACTGTGGTGAATGAGGTGTGGTCGGGACTGGGCCCGTCCACTTGGCAACATCGTGCGCACCATCCTCCAGCATCCATGAGCTTCCTCCGTGGGTGGAGTCGATGAAGGATGTCAGGAGGCTTCTGTCACTGCCGCCGCGCGTGGATGCCAATTGCCAGGCTGTACAAGACCCCCGCATGGATGCTGCGCCTGGAGAGGCCAAGTCGGATTCTGTACCTGGGTCAAGGGCGTCAAATAAGCAAACTAGAAACCTTGTTTCCCACAAGTCAAGCGAGAAGCTCTCGAACAGCGGACATAGCGAATATACGAACACCATAATAAGACCTAGATGCACTCGATGCTGTGCTGACGCACAGACATCAGGAAAAGCTTCGGGACTTTGTTGGTGAGCTCATCTGGCTCTTCCTGAAGGTGCTCGCTCGTGCTCGACCATGTGCTCGGCAACAATGGCAGGCTAGAGGAGCGTGTCAACGTCTCGGCCTTGCTGGGGACGTATTCCAGAAAGGTCTTCTTCTCCACAAGGCTGAACAGCATCACCTCCTCTGTCCTTGCGCGGTTCAGTTTTCAGGGTTTTTTCGGGGTTTGGGTTTGCACAGGGTTTAGGGTTAGGACGGTTAGGGGTTATTCGGATCCGAGGGACAAGGGAAGTCTTAGGACCTGCTTTTTGCCATGGACTTCAAACATCTTCAAACGCGGGACTTGAAGTACTCCTGCTATCTAACGATGGCATAAGTTGGGCCCCATGCCTCATATGATTTCAGTCTCACACGGTTCTTGAGAAAGGCCGAGGATCTGCATGGCTGCCATCCGTCCAACGTGAAGGGGCCTAGTAGGGCGAGTTCCGAGCAGCTACCGCTCTTGCTTCCCGATCGGCTGCGGCGAGCCACGTCCAACGTCTGTGACATGCATCCAGGATTCAAGGCCTTCATGGGCTCATGGCCTGAAACATGGCTGTGTTCTGTAGATTTCTGCTCTGAGGCCGAGGCATAATCCTCTTCACCAAGCAGCTCCTGCCATGGGTCTGGCAGCCCAAAGAGCCCAAAGAGCCCGAACCCCAAAGGAACCCCGCGAAGGGCGGATGGACTTTCCAGAGGGCTTCGATGCTGACCGGCTGGTTCAGCCCTTGAGGTTCATGATGCATGGGTGGGTATGAGTAGGGCTTAAGGTAGCTAAGGAAACCTAACTTGCAGCATAACCTGAATTCAGGTATTGGGGTATCCTGCTTTCTGCTCTGCTTGGAACTACCTGCCTACCTCCAAGGAAAGTTCCTGTGTAAGCCTTGGTCAATGCACCCTAAACATCCCGCCATCAGGGGTTGAGGCTTTCGGGGTTCTAGGGGGGTCAGGGTCTGATCCGCAAGCCCATAGAACCCACCGAGGCTGCATGGACCTGTGCCATCCCTTCACAGGCTCACAGGCTGATTGATATAGTTCGTCGATGACTGGCATATGAGGCCGCGAAAATTAAAGAGCGCACTTGAGCTGCACAAGCCCCAATGCCACCGAACCCTAACCCTAAACGTCTAAACCCTAGACTTCCCCAAAAGCCCTCAGAAGTCTGCCTTGACGGGATCGTACATGCCCGCGCGAAGGTGCGCCAGGCGCCGGGGTGCCTTGGAAGAGCTCCGGTTCAGGGTTTAGGGTTTAGGCTTTAGGGTTTAGGGGTGTAGGTTTCGGGTTTCAGGTTTAGGGGTGCCTGCAATGGCTTCTATGTTTCTGCCTGCGAAAGTCTGGCAGAGGCTGCGGGGTGAATGGGGTTCAGGGCTTTCATCCCTCGGCTCCAAACCTGAAACCCTGTGCCAGCAGCTTGCCCTGGGTCCTCACGCGTGTCGGTCCCTGAACCCCAGACCCGAAACCAACGTGGAGTGCCTTTGAGAATTTCGGAAAGGGCAAGCCGGCCCCCCTCAAAGACCCTTCCCTGGGTTTAGGGTTTAGGGTGTTTAGGGTAGGGTGTTTAGGGTGTTTAGGGTGTTTAGGGTGTTTAGGGTGTTTAGGGTGTTTAGGGTGTTTTGGGTGTTTAGGGTGTTTAGGGTGTTTAGGGTGTTTAGGGTTTAGGGTTTAGGGTTCATCGTACCTGGGGGTCTTGAACACAAAATATGGACCCCATGCTACAGCAGGGCCATGCCCGGGCTGTCCCCGGCGTGATGTAAACATTGCGGAGATACCAAAGGGTAGCTTAGTATGGTCCCTTAAAAGGGGGCCCTATGCCCCTTTTATACGCGAAACAACCCAAGGGCCCTTAATCTAAAGGAGGTAAGAAACCATACTAAACTAACCTTAAAGGGGTCCCGGTGTGGGTTTAGGATATGCTATCGACACTCCCTTTGCAACCACGGCACTGTCCAAGTAAAGGTGGAGCCGTTGTTCAGTCGCAGCTTGCACTGCACGAGATACCACGTGTGGCCTGGGTAGCGTTCTTGAAAGTTTGGATCTCTGATCTGAAACCTGAAAGCTATTCACCCTGAACCGGAATCCCCGAACCCCAGACGACGACCCGTTCGCTGAGCACCACGACCTTACAATCCCACAAACCCTCAACCCATCCCTTACACGACCACAAAACCCCTGAAACCCTTGCAGCCCTAAACCCCCACACCCTGCCCCAAAACTAAGCCCCCAAAACCCCGCTGAACACCAACACCCTAAAACCCCGCAAACCCCCAGCCCTGAACCCTAAACTCCCAACTCCAAAAGTCCTAAAAACCCTAGCAAAGCCCTTAAAGTGCAACGAAGCCTCTGGCGCCCCATAGCACCCTAAACCCTAAACCCTAAACCCTAAACTCCTCAACCCGAAAGCAAGGGCACTCAGGGAGCCCGAGCCCACTTCCTCCACGTGCTCCGCGAGCTCGAAGTTGAGCTGCAGGCGCCGGGACTCGTCGGTGGTCCTCTTTTGACTGAGGGGTTCCTTTGGGCTGTTTTGGGGATGAGGAGTAACAAAAGAAGAGAGAAAAAAAAGTTACAACGCATTTAATCCTAAAAGCTACACCCTCAAGCCTCCTTCCTGGACTTTTGTCCAGGCTTCCCGACCAAACAGCGACATGAATAAGGGGAGCCTCATCCCTAAACCCTAAACCCTGAACCCTAAACCCTCAAACCCTAAACTCTAAACCCTAATCTTCACAACAAGGTTGGTATGAGGGCCCACTCGGGGCCCAAGTTCCCCGCCTCTTTCGAGACAATCCCTCGGCAAGGTCACCGCCCATCCCCCCCCCCCCCCCCCCCCAAAAAAAAAGGGATCCTAAACCCTCTAAACCCTAAACACTAAACCCTAAACCCTTAAACCCTAAACCCCTAAACCCCTAAACCCTAAAACCCTAAACCCCTAAAAACCTTAAACCCCAAACCCTGCAATCCCCAAGCTGATGGAGTTTTTAAGATAAAAGGAGGACGGAGGGCCCAGGATTTGAGAAGCGCGGATGTGACAGCTTAAGAATTTAGCAAGATTTGTGCGTCCACCTGAAACCTTTCTTTTTCCTGAATGAATGAAAGAATGTATTCTATGTATTGTTTTTCTATATATATATATATAACAAAAACAACAGTTCCCCAGACCCAGTCCAGGCTTCGTCGTTGGCTGCGGCACTCTGGAAGCCTTTCCTGGGCACCGGCCGTGAAGCAAATCGGAAAACGGGCTTTGAAACACCCAAGCCTCAAGTTCCGCAACCTTTCAAAGGAAGGATAAGGGTCAAACATGGTCTTGGGATGTCTTGGGGTGACTGTTGTGCGCCTTGGGATGACTGTCGTGCGCCTTCCATTGAACATCGCATGCATCCCAAACTGCCACCCAGCTGCAAGTAGTCCACGACAAAGGGCACCTTCTACAGCAGAAGCGTGCGAAGCACCCGCCCCCCCCCCCCCCCCCCCCCCAACCACACAAGACGTCTGATCATGGGTTGAAGGTCTAGGGTCTTCGCCCGCATGCCCTAGGTCTCTGGTCAAGTTGGCTGGAGTGATGGTGAAGGTGGGCCCCCATCATGAGGCCGAGGCTTGATGCATCCAGGCCGTATCGCCGCTTGCGCCTCAACCCTTGCCACTTCGTTTCTTGCATTCTTTTGCTTTCTTGCCTTCTTTCTTTCTTTTGGGCCCTGGAAGCCCTGCGCCGCAGCTCTTCCTTCCTTCCTTCCTTCCTTCCTTCCTTCCTTCCGTCCACTGCATGTGGCCCCCAAGAGGCGCGCCTCAAACGGTGTGCTTAAGCGAATCCGTCTGTGTGACACTGTGCCATGTTTCGGCCGGGGCAACACGAGAAATCTTAGCTACAAAAGAGAAGTGCCCGATAACGAAACATGGTGCATTGCCCCGGCACCTGACGGTGAGGTGTGGTGCGTCCCTCCTTGCTCGTGTGAGAGCAACCGTGCCTTGTTGCAGTGAGGGACTTGGCGTGACCTTGACCTAATTATACGAACCACTCTCGGCGGACAAAACGTAGCAGCTCGCTCTCTCTATCTATCTCACACTCAGGCACTCATGCAGCATGGCCAAGGATGCGTGCAACGGTCCAGCCTCTTCGCGCCCCAGCCACTCGGCTGCTATTTCCCAAACCTCGGTGCCGCAAAAAGCGTCGAGGAGAGTGGCCGCATGATGGCTCAAACTGAGCAGAGCTTCCTCCTCGTCGGGCTTGGAGGGAGAGGTGGACAGCTTCCTTGGTGAGGCAGGCCATTGCCAGGTCTAGCCTCCCGAAGCACAACAACACCTGCTAGGCATGGAGTAGCAGGTCGTAGGTTTCTAGACTGCCTGCCTGAAGCCATATTCCTGACCAGGCAAAAGTGATACTCGAAGTTGCGCTGTGACGAAACGGCGTTACCAGATACCATTCATAAGAGACCGGACCTTACCTGTCGGCAAGTGCACTGTCTACGCATCTCTGGCGTGCTAACTACGCCCCCACATCCCGACCATTGCGCCAATGCATCTCGACTGTTTCCCTTTCCGCCCAGGCAGGGGGTCGAGGGATGTTGAGGGTTCCTGGTGCAGACAGGCATCGTCACAGCATTCCGGACCTTCAACGATTCGAGCTCCTGCAGACTGCAAACAGTGGGTGCTTGGCTACTATGCTGTTATTCATGGTGTGTTGCTGTATGGCTGTTAGTAGTCGTATATGACTTTTCTTTTCGTATCTTTTTCGTATCTTTTTCGCTATGACTACTATGTTGCTTAGCTACGAAGCCTTTCTATTCGCCTTATGCCCCAATTCTTGTGGCCTGGGCCTCGACAAAACTCAGGCATCGTCTGTAAGCACGAGGTTTGAGGTCCAAAGATTGGAAAACCCTTAAACCCTGAAACACCTCCAAACCCTGAATGCTGCTGGGTCCAGGCGGGCTCGCCAGTGGGCCGACCCACGACGGGCGGCGGCCGGGGCGAGCATGGGTCAGGAGTTGAGGAGTTGAGGCATTCAGGGTTTAGGGTTTAGGGTCTAGGGTCTAGGGTCTAGGGTCTAGGGTCTAGGGTCTAGGGTCTAGGGTCTAGGGTCTAGGGTTAGGGTAGGACTCAGGGCTTGAAATTTGGGTCTCAGTGCTCAAATGGCCTGTAAAGGTTGATAATGGGGCTTGGGCTGGGCTTAAAGTCTGGGTGTTTAAGAGGGTATGGACTTAGGGTGCTGGGTTAGGGAGCTGCGAACAGGGTTCTGAAACGAGTTTTGCAACTCTTACTACAGTCGGAAATGAATTGGGCTGTCTTCATTATCATCATGTTTAGTGCTACGGTTAGTTCTCCGGGGCTGTTCTAGTCGAGGTGGCTGGCAGCAGGCCCCTTTAGGGCGCTGGACTTCGGCGCTATTGAAACGGCTCCGGCAACCTCTCCTGCAGTGCTAGCTTTCGGCTTTTTCGGGTTTTGCAGGTTTCGGGTTTTGGGGCTAGACCCTTAAACCTTCTCTTCTGCTCCGGCGAGTTTAGGTGGTCGGGGTGACGAAAAAGAGGGGCTGTCAGAAATTCAAGCATGGCAAGAGAGTCTCTCAGGGTATGTGGGTATAGCGATTGAGGGCTTACTTGCTTGGGGGGGCGATTACATCGATCAAGGCCCCGGGGTTTTCTTCCTGCAGAATCTCCACATGCCGGTCTTCCAGCGGCCTTTCACAATGCCCGTACATCAGCTCCTTGAGGTAGAGGTTGCCATGACACACTGCAGAGACAAGCAACGCGCATGACCGCCATCACCTCCATGGCATGTCAAGAATCTCTCCTGGATGATTCGCGACGCAGGACTTCTGCCATGATGACTGCCTTCAGAATGCCTGCGTAGGCTCCCTTTTCGGGCTGGAGGCCGCACAAGCGACCCTTCATAGTTGCAGAATCCGTCCAGAAGCCGAGGCACTGCACGGGTTGATGCATCGTCGACTGGAAATTCTCTGGTATCTCTCGGAATCTCGGATCAGGGCCAAGACCAATAGTAGCCAAAAGGAGGGTTTTGGAGCTGCCGGGTCAGAGTTGCATCTCATAGCTCCGCCTCCCCATCCTGCGAATCCGAATCCGAGCTCGCGTCGAAGTCACTCCTGGCCCCAGTTGAGGGAGGTGTACTTTAAGCCCTAAACCCTAAACCCTAAGGTCCTGGGGCTTGGGGTGTGGAGTTCAGTGTGTTGGGCTGTCTTTCGTGTGCCTTTGCCTTCATGCTGTTGAGGCGCAACGTGTTCAGACTTAACAACCGAGCCCCATTCAACCCCCATTGAAAGGAACTTCAGCCCTCAAATCCCATCAGCCGGAAACTCGAAAACAGCTTACACCCCCAAGCCCCAAACACCTCAAAGGCCTAAACCCTGCTCCTGACACCTCCCCCCCCTCAAAGCAAACCCTCCCTCACGCTCCCGCTGAGGTCGGAGTCCGGGTGCTCCCGGACGCGATGCGCCAGGCGCAGCCAGTGCTTCTCCAAAGAAGCGGCGGTGCCTAGCTTGCTTCTATGCTGCTACGTAGGGATGTTCCCCCCTTATACTAACAGTCCTTAGTCCTTAATAGGGATTATAGTACATTAGAATCCCTATTAAGGACGGCCAGCATAAGGGGGAACATCCCAACTCCTACAGGTTCAGGGGCCTGTGTGGAAACAGAGACTTGTTGTAGGGGCGAGGCCTTTCGGGCTTAGGGCTTCCTGGACGAGGGCTGAGGGTCACATCCCACTGGCTCTGGGCATTCAAAGGGGCTTGAGTGTCGGGATTGAAGGCTTAAGAATAGAAATTTGTTGCGGCTTCGAACTTAAGGGCATATTTAAGGGCACATGAAGTCGAAAGGGCTTGGGGTTTGCGGGGCCTGTTGCATGGTAGAAGATGTCCATCCAACCCTAAAACTCAAAGTCCAAAACAGAACTCAGAAGTCAGCTCTTTGTAGGTTTAGGATTTTGCATCTGGGCTTCAAGGGCTTTGGGTGAGCTGATTGGGACCCTGAAAAAAGCTACACCATGGGTGCAAAAGGCTTGAGTTTTCCAACCAAAAGCTCTAAAGTCTCTGAAGGCTTAAAGATCGGTCCTTTGTGGTCATATTTGTCTGCCTCTTTGGGGTGCTAGTTGACATGGCTTAAGGGCGGGGGGGGGGGGGGGGCGATTGCAGCACCAACAGAATGGCAAACTCCGAAAAGCGGCCATTCCCATAGTTATTGGCCAGCCATGTTGCGGCGCTTGTTTCCACAGATGTAAGCATGGCAATGGCACCTCATCGCAAGCTCGAGTAGATGCGTTGGGCGCGCACAAATCCGAGGAGCCGATTGGGCCTACAGCCGAATCTAAAAGGCAACGGTTGGCCTCAAGCCCGTGGAAATCCCTTGCAGCTTGCAGAACAGCTTCTCGGCTCATGATTTAGCACTCCCTCGGGCATGCATCTGAACATGATCGGAAGAAGAGCAAAGTCTTGGGCTGCACATACCTTGCTGGCTCACATGAAGAGATTTCCGCTTGGGATGTTCCCCCTAAACTGACAGTCCTTAATCGGGATTATAGTACCCTCTATTGTAATCCCTATTAAGGACTTTCCCCAATCGAACCAAAGCAAGCTAGACGCTACGGCACCCAAACCTTGAACCACAACCCCCTGCCCACTCACCCCAAACCCCAACCGCGCACTCGAAAACCCCAAGACACCAGATAAATCCCGTATTCAAAAACAAAAAACCAACCAAACAAAACATATACGTATAGATATATATATATATATATGCATAACTGCAAAACAAACACCTCAAAGCATCTCCTACTTAGAAGCGCATAAACAAGGGCCTCCCGGGCCGCCCAGAGCTTTCGGGCCTTGGCTTGTCAATCGGCACAGCCTCTGGCAGGGCTCCCCGTGACAATGCTTTGGGAAGATCCAAGAAATAGATCCCCTTAAAGGCTTCCTAAGAATGACCCAATAGTAGTATAGAGGGTACCACGCTTTGGGACTGATTTTTGTTTCATACGGGTTCTAGGGGTTTAGGGCATAGAGTACAGGGTCTATAGGACTCATAGGCTTTTGGGATCGAGGGGTTAGGTTGAAGTCTTTTGGGTCTAGGGTTTAAGGCTGCTTTGAGCTCAGGGACATCCTTGCGCACTCGTCAGTCCCAAGTAGCTGTGGATGCAATGTGGGAGCCAAAGTGAGACTAGGTGAACTCTGGGTCTGTGAATGTCGAAATCATCTTGGGCATTTCGGACCCAGAGGACAAGAAAGTTATGTACTGAGGCGGCCGGAGGAACTGAACATTTTTACAGCCACATTCAACACAGCCGCAGCCTGCACCGTCCAGCGAAATGCGTGGTGCTGAAGCCATGGGAGCACCTGCAAAGAAGCAGTGGGGAGGCAGATGCATCGCAAGCAGTCTGCACAGTAATTATGGATGCCCTCTTCCCCGTCGCTGTAGTCGTCAGTCACCAAGCTCAGGCTGGCGAGGGTTGTCTGGTACAAGGGCTTTAACAAGACTTTTTTCAAAGAGCCCATGCAGCTTTGGGATTCTGGCTTTATGGTTGTGAGTGTAATGTTGAGGGCAACCAAGCCCCACTGAAGATCCTCAGCCGGCAGACCGCAGGCGGGCGGTGCATGCTGACGGAGATGAACGCGCCACCCACCGACGTGACACGGAAAGCCTCCTGCCAAGGGGACAATCCTGAACCCAAGCCCAAAGCATCAAACAGTTCTAGCAGCAAACCCTGAAGACCCGTCGCCCTCATTATGGGGGGGGGTGGGCTGTAGCTGCGGCAGCAGGGCTTTTGGGCTCTGGGGCTTTCGGGTTTTTTGCGTCCGTTTTTGGAAAGCGCCTGGATCCGTAGATCCCTAGACCCCTCCTTGATGAACTCGGCAATGGCCAGCGCATGCTGATCGTTGCAGAAGAAGGCATCCAGGGTACTCTTGTCCACCACTAACGGGAAGGATTCCTGCGAATCGGTGCAGCCGTCACCCTACACTCGCTCCAGAGGCCGGAAGACGCCTGGTTGCGCTGCTGAGCCCGAAACTCTAAACCTCAAAGCCCTATGAGCTCTAGCTCTAAACTCCTAATCCTAACCCTGGCACCCCACTGCCTGCAATCAGGGCTCGCTGCAGATCTCGGCCATGTTGCGGCAGTCGGCCGCGCGCCATTGAATCTCAGGTCGACTGGCTTGGTTGCGCCTTGGCTTAAACTGGGGCCACAAGCTTCCAAGATGTGAAGCTTGTGGCTTTAGTGGCTTTAGGGTGGTTTTAGAGACTGAGACACTCCGAGCTTCTCGGACATTTGCTTCGTCACCACTTCGGAGATATCCACAGCTGTCTGGTGGTGGTATCCTGCCTTGGGGCAGCAGAATGTTTCGGAATCTTGGCCCATCACAAACTCCCCACCCGGAAGCTCAGCAATGTCGTCTCGGTCGGCACTGCAGGGATTCTCCACTCCCGGGATGCTTTGGGGGTGGAGACTCCCGGATGCTGTAGAGGGCACTCCGACTCTGGGGTGGGCACACCAGGCTCTTCCATGGGAAGGGCACGCAAGACAGGCCGAAGAATTGGGAACTTGGGCAAGGACGATACCAGTAGCTATAGTTTAGAGTTTGGAAGCCCCCCCCAACCCCCAAACCCCCACCCAAGCCCTAGACCCTGGACCCGTTGGCGATAGTCAACTGACTGTTTGTGCCTAGTGTTTGAACAGATTCAACAACATACACGTTGGACCCGCAAACCCGAGGTAAACCCAAAAAAACAAAACCTCATCCTCTGAACCTAAACACCCCAACCGCAAACCCCAAGCCCCAAACCCGGAACACAAGGCTCAACATCCCCCCACTACGGTGGTGTGTTTAGATGGAATGTGCATTTTGGGCAGGTCATCTTGTTGTCTTGTACCGGGGCTGTACAGAAAGCATACAACCCCTATTTTGGAAACCCATCCATTTAAGACATCCTCAACCCTCAAACTAAACCCTAAAACCCCCGATTTAAGCTGCGATGTTGCAGGGGATAGGATTAGGTGGACCCTTGGGGAAAAAGGCCCTCTGAATAAGGTCCCTGTTTAAGAGAGCTAGAATAAGAATTCAGAAGGTCCCCCTTATCCTGCCTAGCATTATCAGATGCCATCTTCAGCCAAAGTGGCGTCGTACATGTCCTCCGGGAGGGGCGAGTTCCCAGAGCCGAGATGCCTTCGAGGTTTCGGAAAGTTCGGGGTTTAGGGTTTAGGGTTTAGGGTTTGGGGTTTGGGGTTTGGGGTTTGGGGTTTGGGGTTTGGGGTTTGGGGTTTGGGGTTTGGGGTTTGGGGTTTGGGGTTTGGGGTTTGGGGTCTACAGTGGGGATAAGCGGAGGATTTCTATCCACGGCCACGGAGGGCCGGGGTTTGCTTGGCTCTTCGGCTTCGTTCGGCTTTTCACGATGTACCCCCCGACCCCCCCAAGGAATTCACACCCGCTCCCTAAGCCCGAACCCTGCAGGAGACGCGAAACCCCAAACACCTCAGTTCGGCCCTGGCACAGCACGGCCCGGCGGGTGTCGAAGCCCATCAGGGGCTCCAGCAGCCACCTCATGTCGGCTCGAGAGGGCCTTTGGGCTTACGGTCGAGGTGCTTAGATCAACTTGAGGTCACCTCAAGGTCTGCTGCCAAGGCGCCGGAGCTCGGTCCATCCAACCAGCCAGTCCTGGATGCGCCACGGCGTTGAAGGGTTGAAGGTGAATGTGCTTAGAGCCAAGGGTCCAAACGGTTGAGGTCCCACATTTACGCACTGAACTTCTGAGTCCAAGTCCAAAGTTCGAAAGAGTGTACGATACTGGTTGCGCTGCTCCAGCACTGAGCGGGATGACATGAAGCTGACATTCTCCAACCATTGTCATACGCCTGGACAAACATACCCGAGGCCCTAAGCCCAACACCTCCAGAGGCAGGCCCGAAGCAGGAAAGCGCATCCCTTTTCGCCAGGGGGCGTAGAGATTTTCGCCTTCTTCGGCTGCCTTCTCGTAGTGTGTCTCCCAGTAGTGGCCTTCGCCGAACCTTACCCCGATCATCCGTTTTCGTGCGCACTTATGCAGAGCTACATGGAGGAGCTGGTTGTCGTGACCATTTCCTTGAGATTCTAGCTGTTACCAAAGCGGCCAACTGCTGACCTGTAGCTCCGGGAGCTCATCCGAAGCGTCTGGACCAGCCATTTAAAAGGACAGCTGAATGCCGGGTATGAAGTTCAAGGTGTGGGTTTAGATCATTTAACGGTTTAGCTTTCAGGCCTTCAGTGTGTTGCATGGCTCGAATCGTGCCTACTCATGCCACAGAGCCAAGATGCCGGAGTGCGTTTCTGGCGCAGATTTTGCTAGTTACCAGCGGCTGCTAGCGGTCATGATCCCAGAGAGTTCATTCTGCTTGGCTGGTGCCAGAAATGGGGAATCTACCAGCTATGCTTCCTTTGCCAAACACTTCGTTTAGGATTTCCCGTGGCCACTTTCGATTGGAGGCAGAGCGGACGAAGATCTGAGCTCCCTTTTTTTTGCTTGTGCTCGCCGAACTGACGCAGGTGCCAATTTCAGAGGAGTCCAAACATTCCAAGCATCCCAGGGGCCACCATGAGCCTTGAGAAACGGAGAGGAGGCCGTCTCCTGTGATGTCTCCGTGATCAGACCCCTTTGGTGCTCAACTTTGAAAGCTCGCTTCGAAGATCAACCGATCAAGCTCGAGGTTCGCTTGGAGCTACCTGGCATCTAGAGGGTTGAGGGTCTAGGGTTTAGGGTTTAGGGTTTAGGGTTTTGGGTCTAGGGTTTAGGGTTTAGGGTCTAGGGTCTAGGGTTTAGGGTTTAGGGTTTAGGGTTTAGGGTTTAGGGTTTAGGGTTTAGGGTTTAGGGTTTAGGGTTTAGGGTTTAGGGTTTAGGGTGCGGACGACGCTGTTCCTGGGCCAAGTGTAGCACGTCTCTTGGGCAGCGATCACGCGGCAAGACACAGCACAAAGCACCCAAGCACAACCCTACATAGTCCCCCCCAAAAATAGCGGAACCCGACAAATTTAACCCCAAATCATCTTACCCAAACAGAAACCTGAACCCAAAAAGAAGAACTTGCCCAAAATTCAGGCCCAGTACCTGTCACGACCAGGGTGGAGCCTACACAGCCAGCTGCCGCTTTGGGCGATCCGGTGATCTCCAGCAGTGGCGTCGACTCCATGGGGCACCTAGAAGTTGTTTGGGGCTTAGGGTTTATGGTTTAGGGTTTAGAGGGTTTAGGGTGCAGGCGGTATGGGGCTGTGGGACTTAGCGTTGAGGGTTTAGCTATGTAGGGCCTAGCAGTGATTCAAGGATTTTGTTTGTTTTTTTTTTGGGTGGGTGGGGGGGGGGGGGGGTAAGCTGGGAGGCTCAAAGCTTTTGAATTTTGGGGCTTGAGGGCTTGCGTGGTTAGGCTGAGGTCAAAACCCCAAACTCTTGCTGGAGCGGATCCAGCTAACCGTCCGCGGCTTTCGCGTCCACGAACATCTCCAAGCTCCCGGGCTCCTGGGCACTGGGAGTTAGGGTTTAGGGTTTCGGGTTTCGGGTTTAGCGTTTAGGGTTTAGGGTTTAGGGCAGTGCGTACGTAGGCCAATGGGGTTTAGGGTTTGGGCTTCAGACGCTGCATCAGAGCTTCAAGGATCACGTCGGTGCATCGCGGCTTCTCTTTACTGCGTGTTTCACATTTGGGTTCGACCAAACCCCCAAACCCAAAATCCAAAAATCGCCTGAAGTAGCTGAAATGGTAGTGACTGTAGTGGAAAGTGGCACCAACCAATACTCCCGCAGCAACCACGGAAAACATGGAAAAGGGTAGGCTCGTGGCCTTCACAAGCCCTGTCTGTCCTGATGATTGACAAGGGCCGCGTCCAAGACCAAGGCCTCTGGTCGTGGCTCTGAGCTTCTGGTGGCTCACATAGGGCTTATCAGATTGTAGCCCTTTGGGTTCATATTTAGGCCAAGAAGGTTTTCCAGGGTTCTTCGTTTATACGGTTCGGCACTGAACCCCCTGACCCCTCCACGGAAAAGGCCAGAAGACCGGCTAGATCACTGGGTGAGGAGGCGAGGAGAATGGTTGACTTGAAACCTGACAACCCCACACGGGGAAGAAAACAACAAAAATTTGCTCTGCAATCTTCAACCTCCAATCTTCGTCTTCAGATACCAGCAAGCTTCAAACATTGCACTTTTACTGAAACGTTTTCTGTTGGGTAATCCTGTGAAAGCTAAGTACATAAGACCTGAAGCCCAAACAATGATCACGAGCACCTGGCAAGCTGACACAAAGCCCAGCACTCTCTGTCAATCGGGGTTTATCACCATGGCCCCGTTTTGGGCACTCAAAAATTTCAGGGTCCGAATTGCGAATATGAGGGTTTACGATATTGGGGGTACCGTATTGGGATCCTCATGAGAAGGGAATCCTAAGTGCTATTTGGGGGTCTAGATTAGGGGTCCCCTATTGTCCTAAACCCCCATATAGGTACCTGAAAGTTCGGGCCCCTGCCTTGTCGATGTAGTGGGGGCCGCGCTTGCGACAAAGCACGAAGAAGCCACGTGCAGTGCTGTGACGACTGCGCGCGCCTGTGCGTCGCTTGTGTAAGTTGGGTTTAGGGTTTGGGAAGTTTAGGGCCGTTGTAACTTCCCACACATTAAGCCGACAATCGGGAGTGCATGCCGTCGTGAGTCATATATGCAAAGCCTCCAAAGATTTCTTCGTGGAAACATCATAACGACCCTGACGACTTGACAAACTCAAGCAGACGCTCTATCTTAGCTAGTCCTACCAACTGTGAATGACATCGAGCAAGTGACCCCTATCGTGCTGCACTGTTGGGAACAACAATTTGGGGTGATGGGCTGAAGCTTCTGTTTTGAGCAAAACTCTCCACAAGGATGCCCCTAAACCCAAAACCCCCACACCATACAGGGCCTCCGACTGCCAGCATGGAAGTTGAAGCCGCGGATGTCATGCCGAGGCGTCGACTTTCATTTGACAGATTTCAACGTGCGGCCCGGAATGTGGATTCTGGGCTTTCGGGACCCTGAGGCATGAAGATGACAAGGCCGAGGGAGCCTCTGAACAAAGCGGGGCACACGGCAAGCACCCTGATGGAAGCGCTGCCAGGCAGTGCGAGCATGCAGCTTAATGGGTAAGGTGGTACAGACCTTGCGAGTTGACTTCAAAGCACAAGCGGGGATGCTGCGACACTGCGCCTGGTCTACCTGCAGGACTCTACCCAGTGTATGCACCATCCGTTGCCCTTAACAAGACCTTCGTCGCAGCCCACTGCGCTGCACAGGGCCGGGCGCGCTTTGCCACAGGCCTGCGCGGGCGCAGTGCCAGGAGGGCTTTTAGGGCGTAGTTGGATCGCGATTCGGGCTGATTCCAGCTGGAACAAAGGTGCCCAAGTGATGATCACATTGGCCTGACGAAACCACGGGGCGAGAAACTCAAACTCAAAGCTCTGACACTGATCGCCACAAAGGGATGCCGTGCTGCCGTGCAGAGAGTATGCCAAAAAGCAGCTGTTGGGCATCTGCCGGAACCTCCAGACTCTCAAATGACTCTGTTGGCTGGAGCAGTTTGAACTCAGGCCTTTGTGGCTCTTTGGCATGTTATCAAAGAACATACAAGAGGAAGCTCTTCGCCAGTTGCGGCCAACATGTGCAGCACGGCGCTGGGGCTCTGAGCCAGAAGCTCCGAGCACTCGCGACATCGAGAAAGCGAGACAGAGGTTCGGAATGATGGCTGCCCTGGGCATGCTGCCGACAGCACCTGCGGACCTTGAATGCCTTGAATCGGCAAGCTTCCTGCACTTCTTGCACACGTGTCCCTCAGATGAGTCAGCACGAGGCACCGAATCCTAAATTCCCTAAATCCTGGCTTTTCTGGCCCCCAGAATCCCCAGGCGTAAGGGCCCACGTCACTCGCCTCCAGATTGAGCGCGCAGCGCTTCAGTGCGTGGTGTCTCAGGGTGCTTTGAAGCTCCGAATGACGCGTCAACGAGGTGCGAAAATCAGGCTACCGAGGCTTCGTCCAAGAAAAACTGGGAAGCGTGTATGCTTTCAAAGCCGGAGGGAGGCTGAGGAGTTGCCGCTTAATCCGTGAACCGAAGCGGCAGAGCAAAGAAACTGCAGAGAGAGATCCATGACTCTCCGCAGAGGTAATAATTAGTTCCGAGGAGCAGAACCAGTGATGCTCTTAACACGTCAGAGGACAGACTGAGACCTTGCGAGTTGACTTCAAAGCACAAGCGGGGATGCTGCGACACTGCGCCTGGTCTACCTGCAGGACTCTACCCAGTGTATGCACCATCCGTTGCCCTTAACAAGACCTTCGTCGCAGCCCACTGCGCTGCACAGGGCCGGGCGCGCTTTGCCACAGGCCTGCGCGGGCGCAGTGCCAGGAGGGCTTTTAGGGCGTAGTTGGATCGCGATTCGGGCTGATTCCAGCTGGAACAAAGGTGCCCAAGTGATGATCACATTGGCCTGACGAAACCACGGGGCGAGAAACTCAAACTCAAAGCTCTGACACTGATCGCCACAAAGGGATGCCGTGCTGCCGTGCAGAGAGTATGCCAAAAAGCAGCTGTTGGGCATCTGCCGGAACCTCCAGACTCTCAAATGACTCTGTTGGCTGGAGCAGTTTGAACTCAGGCCTTTGTGGCTCTTTGGCATGTTATCAAAGAACATACAAGAGGAAGCTCTTCGCCAGTGGCGGCCAACATGTGCAGCACGGCGCTGGGGCTCTGAGCCAGAAGCTCCGAGCACTCGCGACATCGAGAAAGCGAGACAGAGGTTCGGAATGATGGCTGCCCTGGGCATGCTGCCGACAGCACCTGCGGACCTTGAATGCCTTGAATCGGCAAGCTTCCTGCACTTCTTGCACACGTGTCCCTCAGATGAGTCAGCACGAGGCACCGAATCCTAAATTCCCTAAATCCTGGCTTTTCTGGCCCCCAGAATCCCCAGGCGTAAGGGCCCACGTCACTCGCCTCCAGATTGAGCGCGCAGCGCTTCAGTGCGTGGTGTCTCAGGGTGCTTTGAAGCTCCGAATGACGCGTCAACGAGGTGCGAAAATCAGGCTACCGAGGCTTCGTCCAAGAAAAACTGGGAAGCGTGTATGCTTTCAAAGCCGGGCAATCAGGCATCGTCGACATCCTTGCCAAGCATCGGGCGCAGGCCCTCGACCCCACCGCTGAGTTTCTGTTACGCGGCTTAGGTATGCTTTCTTTTGGGGGGGGGGGTCCTCTCTCTCTCGATCGCTTGGGCGCCTTCCTTGTTGCGAAGCAGCGCCGGGGCTTCTTGGCAGTGCTTTTGGATTTAGGACTATCATTTATGAACAGCCAAACCCTAACCCTGATATTCTTTACCGTTCGTCTTGCTAAGGCCGCAAAACCCTACACTGCAGCTTCTCCTCAATAGCCCTTTCCTCGAGCCTTCCTGCAAGCTCACAGCCCAAGGCTTGAGGCCTCGAGGGCTTCGACAATGTACTGTTTAGGAAGTGGGGGCTTGTGAGCCCAAGGTTTAGGGGCTCGGGCCTTCGCATTCTGTGGAATCCCGAGGAGTTGCAGCGTCGGGCTCTATGGGGCCTATGGGGCCCAAGCCGACCGCTTCGAGCTCGGACAGCCGAGGCCAAGCACTCCCGGGTCGTCATGGAGGCGCTCGTTTCGAGCGCCCTAAACCCAACTGGAAACCCACTTTTTTTCACCCAAATAATCAGCCGTCTTCAACTTATGGCTCGGGAAAGGCCTATAGACTTTTTCAGATCTGCAGTCTGGAAGGGCTCGACATACCGGGAAGCAAGGGTAGCCGAGCGGGATGAGACAGTCAAGAGTCAACACGAGCACCTGGGGCGAGTCAGGAAGGGCTGGAGCGACACGCCAGTCGATACAAACGCCATAATGATCATCAGGTCGTTAAAACCCCGAGTCGGTGACTTCGAGGATCGTGGAAGAGGGTCCCTCGTAATGTCAGATGTGAATAGCGCCGTTCCCGCAAGCTTTGCAGCGGAAGCTGCTTTGTAAGGGTCCTCCGAGTCATGCGTGCCTGTGAACGTTACTCCGAACGCTCGCTACATGGGCGGCCACCTTCGGACGAGAGAACTCCGCTTCCAGCTTCCCAGTCACCGAGTAAATTGCACGCTTTCTTTTGGCAACATGCTCATCAGTGTACAAGGTACAGGAAGTACTACCTGCTGCCATGAACACTGCGTTCCTACAATTCAACCATGACCTCCCCAAAGAACCCCAAGGAGGCAGTATGCAATTCGACCGCGGCGCCTTGGCTCTCCTGCAGCAAGCTTGGAGCAGAAAGGGCTACAAGTGACTTCTCCATGATCTGCGGCATACACTTGCCATGTCCCGCCCTGGGAGCCGGGGCTCTATGACTTCTGAAGCTTGAGACCCCAAGCCCTAAAAAAACCCTACAAGCCCTGGAAGTCCTGCAAACCCTATTGAGCCTCAGCTCCACCCTGAAAGCAATCAAAGCAATACCCCGAGGCCGCATACGGGTCGCACAGTTCACAGGCCCCTGGGGCCGGCAGGCAAGCACACGACATGCGCCGAGCCCTCGGACGACAGGGCAGTTTAAGTCAGAGGGTTTGGGGGTTTAAGGTACTTGGAGTTTGCAGTTTAGGCCGGCTGCATTCTTGTCTCCCAGCGGCTGCACGCAAGAGCTTCTGGGCAAGCTCTCACACAAAATATAGGGCTTCCTCCTCAGGTCCACCCACGGTTCAACCGAGTCATCGTCGAAACGACCCAAAGTCGGAAGCATGCCCTAAACCCCATAAACCCGTGGAACCCTAAGGACCCCAAACACCTTCACCCTACTCTGCCCAACATCCCGAACCGGCTCGGTCGCGCGGCAAAGGTTGCACATGGCCCGACAATACTCTTTGGAGCTCTCAAGGCTGGTTGTCCCTTTTGATCGCAGATTGTCCTTGTAATTTTTCATGATGAGGGGTAAGGGGGGCTGGAACAGGCCAAAGGCATTTCTCGCACTTCCCATCGAGTTCCAGCACGTACCCCGCAGGGACCCCAGAGGCAGCGCAAATCCGCAATTGCCGAAGATTAACTGCCACAAAAGGCTTTTGTAGCCGGGAGAGATGTTAGCTGTGGATTGCAGTACGAAGCAAGCATTTGCCTTGAACACTGAACCGGCGCGGGCAAGAGCATGGCGCACGAACTGAGAATCGCACACCGTGAAACCGTGCAGTGGATGTGGCAACTTCGCGCAGGAAAAGACCTCTGGCCCGACAAGTGCCGAGGAGGAGCTCCATGGAGGTCCATTTCACATCAGTAGTGGTGAATGGAAGAAACCGCAGCTGTCAACTGTCGCACTTTTTTCCAACAACTGAGCCAAAGGAAGTTGCAACCTTGCTGCTTTTTTGCCTCCGACGGCTGTCGCTTCACAGATATGCTTACCCGGTACCCATGTAGCTTTGCATCGGAGAGCAAGCCTCGAGGTTAGGGCTTCGGGCATGTAAAGATCAGGGGGCGCTGAAACTCTCAGACAGTCTTGGCCCTGAGATCAACAGCTGTCACAAGACTCTGGTGGGGAGTGTCGCAGTGCTCTCTTCCAACTGCCTAAGACTGGCACCTCAAGCAGGACGCGGTGAGGCGCTTGCACGCGGCCTTGGATTTTTCTATTGCTGTCCGGCCCCCCTTCCCGCACGCACGAGGATGTATGAGCTTAAGCTGGGCTCTAAACTGAAGCTCCCTGAGCCCTGGACCCCAAACCCGAAACCACTCAAAAAGATTCCAGGCTACGCGCTCCACCTGACGCAAAGCAGCTTGGGGACTCTGAGGTTGCAGAAACCGGGCCGCACATCTCAACACCGAGTAGCCACCGCAAGGGTCTTTATGGCCTCACAGCTTTGGGCTGAATGCCTTCATAGGTTCTGAAGCCTCCGAACGGCTTCTGGGCTGCTCGCTCCCCATAGAAGAGAAGTGAAGGATACAAAAGGCGCATCGGAACTCATTCGATGTCGACTTCTCCACAGCAGCAGGGCACGACAGGCCAGCCTGTAAAGTCCTGAGCTTTGCACGGAAAGTGCAGGTTGCGTGCGACAGCAGCCAGGGCTAAGCTGTCATGCTTGCATGCTTCAAGGGCTCAGAACACAAAGACGTCGAAGAGCCTTCGATCCGGCAGCGCTATGCAGCACCTCCGGCCGCGCCTGTTGCATTCTCAGCCCTTGTCGTGCAGGCATGCGTGCAGGCATGCGTGCTCTCGCAACCGGGGTTTGCATTTGACCCTGCCGAGCTCCGGCTAAAGGCGGCGGCCTTTGTGGCAGGTTGCCTGGGACCCATTTGTGTGGCTCAGGCGATGCAGTGAAGAGCGGAGCGAATACAGCCGATCCCCTCTGAGCTGCAGAGAGTTGCCGCGGTCACCGGCCTCTGCAACTATGAAGAAGTTCCTCGACTCTCTTGGGCAGACGGCTTGTGCTCTACAGTGCGACTAAGACCGGGTGAGAGCGCTAGATCACCCAGGAGGGGCGAAGCACGACTCATCTAGCCCCACAAGTGCTCTTGAACCTGCAATGTGAATGAGCTCGGCTGCCAAACCGGACAATGCTCTGCAACGCACATGTGTCGCAGATGTGCAAGCCCACCTCTCACCAAACGAAAGCAGGGGGCGGATTTGTTTGGAAGGCCAAGACACCAGAACCTGCTCTCATTGATGTTCCACAACAAGACCCAATTCTGACTTCTTTTTTGTTCCTGCTAGCGACAGCATCGCTCTTGCAACAGGAGAAGGTATA